CACACTGATTTTTACCATGCTTGTCACACTTGGGGAGACTGAGGCAGAGAGGGTGAGCAGTGAATTCTCTAGTTACGGCCATGCTGCGCCAAACTACTGGATCCTGGGGGGACCTCCGGAGGGTGACAGATACTGCATGGTGACAGAAGCGTGGTGGCAGGAGGGGAGAGAAATGCTTCAGAGAACGGGGCCGGGCGTCCTTGTGAAAGATGGCTAGGACTTACAAGAAGATGAAACTTTGGGATCGAGTCACCACATAGTGACAAGAAGTGTAGTCATAGTCTACTAGGCTGCTTGTTTCTTCCACCCCGTTACTCATTAGCCCGACAATGCTCATTCATTTACTCATTCATTCAAGTGTTCAGCAACATCTGTGCTATGGTAAGTGCAAATGCAGCCCTCCCTTCACAAGGGGAGATGAAGATGTAAATCACCACAAAAACACGTTATGGGTAATCACTGTGCAGTGGGTGAGAACACCTAGGAGGGGGCCCGCCTGGCATGCATGGACAGGAAGAGGGCTTCACGAAGCTAAGGTGTGTAGTTCTAACAGGATCTTGACTTTAAGGTCATCCTGGATTATCCTGGTGGTCTCAGTACAATTGCCAAGGTCCTTTAAAAAGGGCAAAGAAAAATACAGGACAATAAAAGCAAAGATACTGTGTTGCTGACTTTCAAAGTGAATCAGTGGTCTGTGAGTAACAGATTGAAGGCAGCTTCTAGGTTAGGTTAGAGGAGAGACTCTTTCCCAGCCTGCAGAAGGAACAAACACCTGCTGACACCTTAATTTTAGTTCAGTGACACCTTCATCTTCATTTGTTTTGGTTTGAATCTGAAATGTACCCCACAGGCTCATTCTCTTGAATTCTTGGTTGGAAGTGAGCTGTGGCACTTTGGGGAAATGGGCTTACATAGTCCACTAGTGTAGGTTTAGGGTTATTACAGCCAGACTTCACTACAGCCTGAGCCATCAGGTCCTCTGGGTGATGTTAGCATGTACCACATGTTCTAGCCACTACCACGGAGCAGGTCCTGACACCATACCTTCCTTTCCATGATGGGCCCCATGAGCCAAAATAAATCTTTTCTCCCTTACATTGTATCTGTCACAGTGAAAAAGTACCTAATACATCACTTCAGACTTTGGAATTCTGAGATAGTAGGATAACAAATTTAAGTTATTATAAGCCAAGAGTTTGTTTATTATAGTTTGTGATCATTTGTTTAAGTAATAGGAAACTGTGGCTGGCGTGACAGCTCAGCAATTAAAGAGTGCATACTGCTCTTGCCGAAGACCTGTGTTTGGTTTCCAGCGTCCATGTCAATGTCAGGCGGCTCACAACCACCTGTAACTTTAGTGCTAGGGGATCTGACTAAGATGACTGTGTGGTTTTGCTTCTTATTTTCTCAATATGGTGTGTTATGTAAATTGATTATTCTATGTTAAATCAACCTTGCATGCTAAATCCTCTTTGGTCACAATGCACACTCTTACATGTTGCTAGATTTTGTTTGTTAATATTTTGTCATAGGTTTTAAATATCTGTATTATAAGAGAAGTTAGGCCAGGTAATGGCGGTGCATGTCTTCAATCCCAGCACTCGGGAGGCAGAGTCAGGTAGATCTCTGCGAGTATGAGGCCAGCCTGGTCTATGGAGTCAGTTCCAGAACAGCCAGGGCTGTAACACAGAGAAACCCTGTCTCGAAAAACTAAAAGGGGGGGTAGTCTATAGCTTTTTCTGTTAGTCTTGTCTTCATACTAGTGTAATACCAGTTTCAGAGAATATACTAGGAAGTGTACCCTCCTTTCCTACATTTTAGAGGAGTTTGTAAATGAGTGAAATTTGTTCTTTGAGTATTTGGAAGAATTCACCATTAAAATCAGTTAATTTTAAGTTTTTGAGTTTTTTTTAATTTTTGGTTTAATCCTCATGGCAATTGTTTTAGAGCAAGTTGGATGGCAAATCTCTTCATTTCATCTGAGAATGTTTTATTTCTGAAGCTTATCTTCATTGGCTACAAAATTTCATGTTAAGATTTCTTTTCTTTCAGCACTGAAAATTTTTGTCCTCTGTACAAAATCTATAGGTATTTCAATCATTGTTCTTTTATAAGTAATGCATCGTTTTTCTCTAGTTAGTTTCAAAGTGTTTTCTCTGTCATATTTTCTTTGTTTTTATTTTCCAGCAGTTTAATGGATAGGCATAGATTTCTTTCAGTTTATCCTGTTTAAAGATCAGTAAATGTCTGTAAGTTCTTTTTCTTTCTAATTTTTCCTGACATGCATTTGATATTTCCTACCAGGTTTCTGAGGCTCATATTATTTTTTAACTATTTTTTCCTCATTCATATTACATAATTTCTATGAATCAGCATTTAAATTCACCGATGCCCTTGTCATCTCTACTCTGCTATCAATTCTAACATGTCCATTTGGTTCCTCCTCATGTATTATCTCTCTTCCCTTTTCATTCACTTCAAGATGCTCACTCTTGCTTTGTAGAGCTTTTTCTAACATTCCTTTTTCAGTAACTTCAACATTTGTGTGTTGTCTTCATCAACGTTATCAGTTACCTTTTTGTTTTGTTTTTATTTTTATTGCCTTTTTATGCTAATTGAGATTTTCTTTACTCGTTGTATGCTAAGTCATCTTGGATTAAACACTAGACAACTGGAATTTTATGTTCTAAATAGCTAGCTCTTCTTCCTATTTGGCATGCCATTGGTCTAACCGGATTCAGGTCAGATGTGCTGACTTGCCTTTGTGGCTGTAGCTCCGGTGTTAGTTCAGCTGCAATGACATTCAGATGCATCCAAGTTGTGTATACAACAATTGGCCAGTCTGGGATGTGGACAGTGGTCTACCCTCTATCTCAGTACTCAAGTCTATGCCATGCTCTTAGCATCAAATTCATAACCATAACAGCTTAACAGTGGGTCCAGGAATTACAGAATTTCACTCTTGAGGCCTTCTCCACCATGATCTGATATGTGCCTTGAGCTCACCACCTCTGCCGCCACCACCACCACCACCACCACCACCTTTTGGTTTTTCTAGCCAGAAACCTGGGTTTTCAGTTAACCTACCCTGCATTTATTTCCTAGAACTGGATACATCCTGCGCCAAGTATTAGGAGACCAAAGTCCTCAAACATGCCTGCTTTGTGCATTTTATTCATGTTTTTAATAGCTGCACACAGTGAGAGTAAACTACATGCTTCATCTTTTCTATAAGAACTTCCTACAGCAAAGAAATTTGTCTTAATTCCGTTATTAGGGAAGATTTTTTTTTGAAGTTGCTATAAGTCACAACAGAAGCCCCAGATGAACTCCAGCCAAAACAAACTAAACTTAAGTATGCTACAAGTGCAAGCATTATGTGGTGTTGGAATAAGTATTTTTTGCTGGGCCTCATGGTACATACTTCATAGTACACACCAATTATAGCGATTGGGAGGTAGGAACGGAGGATCAGTTCAAAGCAGTCTTGGCTACATAAGCCAGCCTGATCTACACGAGACCCTATCTTAAAAACATAAAACAAACAAACAAAAATGTATTTTCCAAGCACAGACAAGTTCTTAGGGTCAAGTTCCTATTTGGTATTTAGCAAGCTGGTGGGGTTTCTTATTTGGACTTTCTTTTGTGGCCATCCCTATTTTGGACCGTCAAAAAGTGAAAAGTGTTTTTAGCTTTAAGGAAATGTTACTATAGTTAGGCTTTTTGGGAAAAAAAGAAAAATTGAGATTAAAAACAAAAGGATTGAGGAAAGATAAGATTCTCAAGAGCCTGAAGGCAGGGAAAGGGAACAACCATCCTGGAGATCGTCTCGTGCCCCTTCCCCGCCGCTCCCTCCCTCCCTGTGTGCTGCCTTTTGGTCTTGTCTTTCTGGCTCCTGCCAAGCTCTTTCCTGACTCATGGTAATTTCTGACTACCTCCTTTTCTTCCTTTGAGTCATCTCCTCGGGGACATCTCGTCGGCAGACTAAGTTAAAGTCCCCATATTATTAAAAAACACACCCTGTATTTTCCGTTAGAAGAACTTATTGAAATCATTAATTTTTTCCTTGTGTGAAAAATAGCTGTCTGCCACCGCTGGGTCACAAGCTTCAGGTAGGCAGAGCTACCTAGTGGAGTGCCTCTGATGATCTAATAAAGAGTTGAATGGCTAATAAGGAGGCAGGAGCAAGGGTAGGTGGGGCTGGCAGGCAAAGAGTATAAACAGGAAAACTGAGGAAGAGGGGAGGGAGAGGAAGGGGAGGATCTAGGATCTAGGAGAAAGAAAACAAGGAGAGGAGGACAGCAGGTGTCAGTCACCCAGTCATCCAGCTACACAGCAATTCACAGAGTAAGAGTTACAGAAGTAAAAGAACAGGAAAAGTCCAGAGGCAAAAGGTAGATGGGATAAATTAATTTAAGAAAAGCTGGCTAGCAACAAGCCAAGCTAAGGCCAGCCATTCATAAGTAATAAGACTCGGGGAGTCTTATTTGGGAGCTGGGTGGTGGGCCCCTCAAAAAGCCAAAAAAGCAAAATATTTAATACAACAGTACCATCCATCTCTCTCTTCATGAAAGGTTCACTATCCCCAGCTTCTGCCACACCTTTATATAATACTTATCTCCAGTTTTGACAATAAACCCACAAAGTATATTAGTTAACTGTCTCAATGCTGCAGCAAAATAGCTGACAAAAGCAACTGAAGAAGGGAGAGTTTGGCTTACAATTTCAGGGGATACATACAGTCTGTCATGGCCAGCCTACCATAACTTCTCTGAGGCCGCCGTCACCCACTGCCCAGGATCAGCTCATTTTCTTTTTATTTAGTTCAGGATCATGTGGT